ACGGTGCCGGGCCTGGGACACAGCTCACGGCATTTCTTGGCATCCTGGGAAGGCCTGGGGATTCACAGCCCTCCTTGCGGAGCAGCCTGACTTGGAATTCACTTGGGAACGAGGTCTGTGGTGCTGCTGCTCCAAACCCAGACAAAAGGATGGAAACCACCCCAACTCCTGACGTCTGAAATGCTGCAGGGCACTTACAAAGTCTCAGTCCAGGGGTATTCCTTCCATGCCTCTTTACCAAAAGTAGCAATCGAGTTGCCAGTGAAATCTCTGCAAAGAAAAAACAGACACCGTTACCCCTGAAGAAAACCCCTTCCCCTGCCCATTTGGCTGCTGAGCTGGAAGTGGGATTTCCCTGGAGAAGGCAAAGCTCGGCCAGCCTGGCTTCACCCTCACACTGCACACAGCCCCCCAAGCTGGAGGGTCTGTGGGGCAGCCAGCACTCACAGGGTGGTCAGGGCCCGTCGGTGGGTGGCCGGGGGCACGGTGGCCAGGCCGGCGTGGCGGCAGTCCAGCAGTCCACGCCTCTGGCAGCGGCAGGGGTGCGGGCACAGCTCCTTGGACTCTCCTGGCCAGGGAGTCACTGCCAGCAGCAGGGCCAGCAGGAGCAGAGCACGCACGACACGCCTCAGCAAGTCCATGGCGAACCACGACTGGCTGGAGTCGCCTGGGATGCAGAAAGAAGGGGCTGCCTCGGTGGTGTTCATGTCACAGTGGTGGTGCTGATGTCACAGTGGTGATGCCGTGTCAGACATCACAGCAGGACCGCAGTTCAGGCAAGTCTGGTACCAAATGTCTGTCATAGAGCCATAAACCCATGGAATCCTGGAATGGATTGGCTTGGAAGAGGCCTGCCCCTTCCATGGGCAGAGGCACCTTCCACTAAACCAGTTGGCTCCAAGTCCCCACCAGTCTGGCCTTCAACACTTCAGGGATGGGGGCAACAGGTCTGGCTTCTGTAAGAAGCTGCAGGAAGCTTCCCGTATCCAACTGATCCAGTCATCTGGCTCTAGGATGGACATGCCTCTGGCCGAGACTGAGACAATCTGAAATGGTGGTAATGCCTCTGGGATAACACACTTATTCTGCAAAGCAGGAGGATGGTCGGGTCTTGAATCGCTTGTCTTTGATTAGACAGAGGTGAGTCCCTCTGCCAGCACCCCCACACTCCATCAGGGGCCTGGGCTTGGTCTCAGAGCAGAGTTCTGAGAATGTCACTGAAAATTGAATGTGGTCTTTGAAATGCTTGCAGGGACCTGAGTGCAACTCAAGTGACTCTGCAGACGTTGCTGCTGCTCCTGCAGACAGCAGTGGAAGAAGCCTAAGGAAATGCCTTTACCCAGACACAAGATGCTCCTGCCCAGACTGCCCTGCCTCCAGCACCCCAAAATCTGGCCTGCTGACTCCGTGACCCCTCTCTGCAGAGGAGGATGCTGCCATGCTCAGGACACCCAGAGGAGCCTCTTGGGGCCCTGGGACCCCCAGAGCCTCAGGAACCCTTTGTGACGTCCTGAGGGGTCTGCACATGTGGCAGGATCCCCCCCACAGCCCCTTGTGTTCAGCTATTGTTTCTATACCAGTTTGGAATGACTTTCCCAATAAACCTGGGTTTGTGCAGAGTGTCCTGTGAGCGTGGGGAAGGTGGTTGAGGGGCTGTTTCCATGTGTGTGTACAGGCTGGGCAATGAGAGGCTGGAGAGCAGCTGCGGGAAAGGGCCCTGGGGGTCCTGGTGGTGCCAGTTGGCCATGAGTCAGCAGTGCCCTGGCATCCAGGAGAGCCAACCCTGTCCTGGGGGCATCAGGCCCAGAGGGAAGGGATTGTCCTGCTCTTCTCTGACCTAGGGCGGCCTCACCTGCAACACTGGGGCAGTTTGGGGGGCAAAATATAAAAGAAGATGTTAAATATTAGCATTCAAAGGAGGCCATGAGGATGATGTGAAAGGCTGTGAGAGGAAGCTGTATGAGGAGGTTGAGGTCACTTGGTTTGTTCAGCAGGAGAAGAGGGGACTGAGGTCAGACCTCAGTGGGGTTTTCAACATCCTCCCGAGGGGTAGTGGAGGGGCAGCTCCGATCTGTGCTCTGGGTGAGCAGGGACAGCACCCAGGGAATGGCTGGAGCTGTGCCAGGGCAGGCTCAGGTTGGATCTCAGGGAAAGGTTCTTCCCCCAGAGGGTGGTTGGCACTGAACAGGCTCCCCAGGGCAGTGGGCACAGCCCCAAGGCTGCCAGAGCTCCAGGAGGGTTTGCACGGGGGGGATTGCTGAGGTGTCCGTGCGGGGCCGGGGGTCGGAGCGGACGGTCCGTGTGGTCCCTTCCAGCTCAGGGCATTCCACGGTGTCCCCGTGTCCCCATCCCGAGGTCCGCTCGCGCCCCCGCGCGCAACCCGCGGGAAAGGGGAAAGGGGCGTGGTCCTGTTGCGCGGTGACGTCAAGAGGGGCGGGACGTGCGCGCTCCCGGCATTTCCGGGTTCCCCGGGCGGAGGCGCGGAGCCGGTGAGAGGGG